GTCAAGCAAAGTCGTCTGTCATAGGTACAACCGTAGGCTTCTTACAAGTACATTCTATTATCATTTCCAAAAATGTTTGGAATCACTGTTCCTTTAATTCGAATATTCTTTTCATTATATTCGTAAAATAGACTCTAACTGATAAATAGATCTAGGGTTGATATTTCTTCCATATTTTGTTTACCCGTATGCGCCTACTACTAACTGGTTTCGGGCTTCGAACACGAAAAAAGTATTTCAATCCTACACATTGTTAACCCGACAGAAAAAAATGGCGGATTGCGTGCCCCGTAAGCGCCCCTTTTTAAGGTCCTTTGTCGTCCATTTTGCTATTAAATTATCTATTTTCGATGCCTAGGGAAAGGCGGTTTAAAGGTCTAAATTATCAAATTGTGCTAATTATATATATGACGCCGTTCCTTGCTTAGGGTAAAGGGTTGAGGAAAGGGTTATAAGCGTTTCATTTTTAGAGGGACCGTTAATTCTTTTATAATTATTATTGTTGTTTAAAGGAATTTTTTTAAGACTTATATGGTTATTTATAATAAGGTCTTAAAGTATTTTTTATCAAGAAAAGTTTTCTGAAGGAAATATTTTTACGGTAAATTTTAAAAACATAATATATTGCTGAGGTCCGAATTTAAATTCTTTTGTTGCGCACGGCACTAGTTAATTTGCAAGAGCGTGTGCATAATAACAAAGCATATTATTAAAGCCGTGATTATATTACAGATATTTTAGTCATTTTACAAGTGTCTCGGTTGTTATAAACATTATTTGTTTCAATATATAAAACATTGAAAGGGCTGAAGAATATATCGAAAATGCAGTGAGTAAAGTAACTTATAAGTACAGTATTATTTACTGTTTTAGGAGGGAAACTTGCATTTGTGCTTGTAAGTAACATTTAAAATTGCTTATTATTTTGAAACTTTCATTAATCTCTGCGTGAATCTGCAATTTGTTTAATTTGGTGTTTGGTAAACCATAAGTATGCTAGAACTGAAATCTTTGTATTTTGAAAAAAAAATTAAGAAAAATAACATTACACATACGCACGATGGCATGAGTTACAAAGTCGTGCATTCGTGCGCACAAGTTACTAAAACGTGTGCACGAGATAATTAAGTAGTTCAACAAATCAGATTACACTATATATATAAGAGTTTTCTTAGTAAACTAGAAATGTGCAATAGACAATGATTTAACTACTTCACCTGCGTATCAATGGGGCATTATGCACACTTATGCTTGAAAAATTTACTGTGACATTGACCTTTCACATTATGACTTTAAATAATAAGTTGTCATCTTCTTGATATGAACAATATTCCTACCAAGTAACATAAATAATAGCTTATTTATTCTCGAGCTATTGATTCGAAAAAGTTTTTACATTATTTGTCTCTTGCCTTGACCTTTGACCTAATGAAATGGAAATCAATAGTGTTTTTTACTGGCCACGAAGGGACCAACGGTATGTGCCTATCAAGTAACAAAACGCATTGCCTATTCCATTCCTTCTAAAGTTATTGATTGGACAATGATTTAACCCATTACGCGATATATACGCCTTTAAACGCCTTTTTCACCACCCCCCCTCTTTTTGGTGTCTCACATGGTGAAAAAATGCCTTATTTAGGCCCCCAACACTTGTTTATGTGTGAGAAATGTTGTTTAAAAAAGTGGCCACTTTTTCGGCGCGCCCCCGACTAAAAGATACATCGGGGGATTGCCAGAAGGGGCATGTGCCCCCTTTTGTTGGGGGGGTGAAGGGGGCGGAGTTCCCCTCATCGCCATAAAAAAAATTGGACTTGTGAGAGGCTTAAAATGACCCCAGATCGATCATAAGGTAACGTGTAACCAACGCTGAAAAGGATTTGACTCTATCTCAATCCATTGAGAGGTTGCAACACATTGAAGTAAATTTTGATATAAAAATCAACGCAAAATAGTGATTTTTGGCAATTTTGAGATGTCCTCTCGTTGCCATGGTGACAGGAAATTTAAGCCTGAGCATGTTGTTGCAAAGGCAATGGTCCAGTCAACATTTGTGCCAAGTTTGATTAGTATTAAGGCAGTTTATATAGTTATATAGCAATTTGAAATTGTAACGGGAGACTTTTCAATGAAAACAGCCATTTTTCACAAAATGCTTATGAAGTAATGGGTAAATGAAAAAAATAAAAAAAATTTACAAAACAACAATTTTTCCTCCAATTCATCTGTTAGCCATGTTTAAAAATGGATAAAAGTGATTTTTGGGAAATTTCAAATATTTTCATCATTTTCTGTTAACCCATTACGCGATATATACGCCTTTTAACGCCTTTTTGACACCCCCCCCCCTTCTTGGTGTCTCAAATGGTGAAAACATGCCTTTTTTAAACCCCCAACACTTGTTTCTGTTTGAAAAATGTTGTTTAACAAAGCGAACACTTTTTCGGCGTGACCCCCCCCCCCCCATCAAAAGATACATCAGGGGGTTACCAGAATGGGGTGTGCCCCCTTCTGTTTGGGGGGTTTGAAGGGGGCGGAGTCCCCCTCATCGCCAAGAAAAGTTTGGACTTGTGAGAGGCTAAAAATGACCCCAGATCGATCATAAGGTAACGTGTAACCAACGCTGAAAAGGATTTGACTCTATCTCAATCAATTGAGAAGTTGAAGCACTTTGAAGTCAATTTTGATATAAAAATCAACGCAAAATAGTGATTTCTGGCAATTTTGAGATGTCCCCTCGTTGCCATGGTAACAGGAAATTTATGCCTTAGCATGTTGTTGCAAAGGCAATGGTCCAGTCAACATTTGTGCCAAGTGCAATTGTAACGGAAGACTTTTCAATGAAAACAGCCATTTTTCACAAAATGCCCATGAAGTAATGGGTCAATGGGCCATTGCGATCCTTATCATGAACCAAATGACCTCAAGTCATTAGGTGTCATCTTCTTATCAGGTACAATGTCCATACCAGGTGATATAAACCATGGCTTATTCCTTCTCAAGTTATTATCAGACGATGATTTTACATAGTTTCTTGCTTACATTGACCTTTGATACACAAATAAAGGACATATACTGGCAATGAGTAATGTCCCTACCAAATAAAATAATCTATAGGGCTTATTCCTTTTTAAGTTATCGCATATAAAGCTTAACTGAGTAACTCGTGCGCATCACTTTATTTTCTCGTGTGTACGACTTAGTAAGTATGATCACAACTTGGTAACTCGTGCGCACGATATTTTACCTCGTGATCACGAGCTAAATATAAACACAAACATGTTGCCACTATGCCACCGTTCATACGATAGTAGTTAGACTAGTGTTTATTACTTTTCGATATACATTTGAAAGTCCAATAATTTCGTAAAATAGTATCTAAAATTGGTAAAAAAACATATAATAAACAAGATCATCAAGGAAAGGCGGCTTCAATGAACGCAATAGGTAAACCGATCTGTATTTGGCTGTAAAGTGAGAAAATAATCTATTGTTAGACTAAATTGTATAAACGTGCTCTTTGCCTAAATGTTGTAACTAAATACGGTTTCATTTTTCTTAAACAATTATTATTCACTCATCATAAATAAATGAAAGTCAATGCTTTATATAAAATTCATATTATTTGCTGAATATAAACGTGTTATATTTAAACATGTATTTTGTATATATATATTAAAATAACAAGAATGAAGATCAACAAGGCAAAGGCAACGTTCACAGGACATGACATACCATATACACATCCGAAAGTAAAATTATGCTCTGTTCTGTTTTTGCATACGGCCTGATATAATTTATGCTCTGTTATATTTAGTGATTTGTTTAATTTCATTAATTACATTCTGAAACCAACTATCTTCTTTGCTTTCATTGTTCTCGAGTGAACCTTACTTTCCTGAACTTAACATTTAATCCGTATTGTGTCTGTTTTTCATTTAAGAAATATTATTACTATTTCAATTTTCGAAATGATTGTTTCATTATTAGAGTAGTAGCTAAAGTTTCCTTAAAAGATGGACGCTGTAAAGCGACGGCTGGGGTGTGGTTCAAGGGAGGCCGACCAGGGAAATGATCATACGAGTTAACTGTAAAAAATATAAGTAAATGTAGAATTAACATAGTTTTCTTTTTTATATTAGTAAAAAAAAGAGATTTAGTCTTTGTTCTACTTTATCGTCTAATAAAATTTTTTTTTTAAATTTCGGATATTCTTTATCACATAACCGTTCATTTAAACGTTGCTACTATTTGGGAAAACAAAGTGCGTGTATACGAAAAGTAGATCAAAGACTAAGATTTTTACACTGATAAGAAACTACAACAAATGTCTTAAACAGCTATAATTGCTCCCTTGTTCATCCTTTTGAGCTGTTTAAATCATTTACTATTTTCCTTCTTAACGTCTTAATTATTACATATGTATAGTGTTTAATTGTATATAACGAAATTACTTTCATCAAACTGTTGAATTTAAATATTAACAAAAGTACATACATATATTTATAATCACATTAAAACTAAGTGATTTGAATTTATGAAAAAAAGATTATTTTTATAAAAAGAATTAAGACTAAAATTTTATTATTTGTGATATGTACTATTTCAGGTATGTCTGATCTTGAAGACCCGCTCTACAAGGACTGGGTGCGTTCTGCCCTGAGTCTAAAATACCTTAAAGAAGGTATATATTGCTTTGTTGACCAATTTGCTAAACAACATCATAGCAACCTTCTTCTAAGTTATATTAAGGGTACCGGGTCCCCTGCGACCAGTTGCACTGAATGTACATCCGAAAATCTCATGCCAGAGCATCCAAGGCATCAATGTATTCAAAAATTTAGATCCAAGTGTTTCTGTAACAATCCTGGTGGACGCCGAAAATGTCCTAACAACTTCTGCAGTAGATTGTATGACTTAATTGTTATTGCTCACGACGAAAGAAACCCTCTATGGGTCAACACGGACCCAAGAAAATGGTATATGGATCATTGGGAAAGCGCTAAGTGTTATCTATCAACTACTGGTTATTCAGAACAAGGGACAGCTGTAGACACGGACGCTGCTGGCCTATTGTCAATTATTGTGAATAACATCGAGATCCGTAATTACGTTGATTGCATAGATAATATAAGAAAGGTATTTTGTATACTGTTTAATTGCATTCCTATTTATATTTATGATATAAAGATGTTTAAGTGAGAGTCCATAAAATGTCACACTCTGATTCATAACAATACCTGACTTCTCTGTAAGTCTGGTATCCCACTTTGGGCTGTTTATGCCGTCGCTAGAAGTTATAACGTTATTTTTCCAATTTGTCGTCGTTCTTCAACTGTCTTATTTCCAACAAATTCGCCATTTACTTTCATCACTTCTGTTTAAGCAAAATCAATCCACAGTTGATAAAGTTAAACTTAAAGGAACTCCAAACTGTTATTCACAAGAATTTATTGGAAATAATGTTTTAAAATTTGTGTTCAATTTGATATCGGTAAAAAATTAAGATAATTTGCTGATTATATTTTGCAGAAAGGTTACTATAAGCGTGCAAAATAAGCCACAAATGAAAGCTTTAATTCAAATAAATCGGGCTAATAAAAATGATTTTTAATTCCATTGTGAGATACTGTTTTAATATCGTTTGCGATTTTTATCGTTTAAATTTCCCAAATTTATCGATATAAAACTTTTAAATTTTAAGTTACCGGGATGATCCGGGACGATTCGTGGTGAAGTTATTGTTGCGGCGGTAATTCCCAAATAACCACTCAGGATGCTCTCCGGATCATCCCGGCAGAGCCCAGGTGAAGCTGCGGTTCATGCCAGTGCTTCCCCGGTCGTTCCCGGATGACGCCGGAAGAACCCCGGTTTACCGAGGCAGAGCCCCGGTTGATCCATACAGAGCCCTGGCAGAGCCCAGGACGATCCAGGCAGAGCCCCTGTAGAACCCCGGTGGATTGAAAACGCGCGAAAATGATAATATTAATTAATATAATATCTATTGTTCAAGAATAGTAATTCAATCATGATGATTTTCTGAAAAAAATCCTTTTGCAAGACTGGATAGAAGGGAAATGGGAAGGGTTTTAATACAAACAAGTGCAGTCATCGCAAATTGTCGTGATTATTTTGAAATGAACCGGGCTTTGCCGGGGCTTTACCGGGATCAACCGTAGCTCCATCGTCATCCTCCGGGGCTCTGCCGGCATCCTCTGGGGGTCTGCCGGCATTCACAAGGGCTCTGCCAGCATTCACCGGGGTTGTACCGTAGCTCTACCGGCTATATCCTACTCCGGATCATCCACGGTTTGTGCCGGCAGAGCTATGGTGTTCCCCGGTGTAACGCCGGTCGTTCCCGGCAGAGCTAAGGATGAAGCCGGCAAAGCTATACTTCCCGGATCATCCCTGACCACCCCGTTGATATGAAATATTTTATTCCATCCGGGGTCGAATGCCAAATGTTCCCGGATCATCCCGGACGTTGCCGGCACAGTTATTGATGTACCCCGGTTGTTCCCGGTCGTACCCCGGTCGTGCCCGGATCACCCCGGACGTCTACCGCGGCTCTGCCGGGACGTCATTGAGACTGTAGCTTAAGCTTTTGGACCTTTGGACCTCAGCGGAATCCTTTACCAAGTGTTTGGTATTGACACTTTTAAAATGGATCTGTTTTAACTACATCATAATTTTTGAATATGAATGCCTAATGTACCTGTAGACTCAACGATTCATTTTATAATACACCTAAGTATAATCATTTTTTATTTCAAGGTTCGGGATATCCGCAATGAGATTATGCATTCAAAGTCCTTTCAAGTGGATCAAAGTTCTTTATATTAATATATCGATCAGATGATTTTGGTTCTTCAAGATCCCAAGACATTAGTCACAGATGTAGCTTCTCAAAATGCCGTTTTAAAATTAGAACAGGTCACTATAATATTGATTCTGTTAATTTATCTTTATAAATTACTTCTGTTTGTCAGTTATTACACGGTTATTATCCTACATATTTCTTTTTATATTTGCGTGTAATATTCCTATAAATATCTAAAATAATCTTCTCTTTGTCGTTTTAGAATAACTTATTGTAAAATAACCACCAGATTAAGGCGTATTTTATAAAACAATAAAATGAAATGTCTTTTGACTAGATATTGATCAAATGTAAATTACACTGATTTTTAAAATTCTTATATGTATTTTTTTAAAGGCATTACTTAAAATTCTCAAAATTTAATGTTTATATGTTTTTTGTTTTCGAGTATTTAGTTAAAGAGAGATCAGATATACATAAGCTTAGAAGATGCTTATGAAATGCGAAGACAAGCTTTAAAAGCTGGAGAGGATGGTAAAAAAGAGATCGAGAAAACTAAGGACGAAGTCATTCAACAAATCGAGAAGAAGGGAAAAGAAATTCATGATAACTTAGATACACACTTTGACCAGCGATTACAGGAACAAAACAAGGTAATCAAGCTGTAAATCAATCAGCTGGGAACGAAATTGAAACAAAGGGACGGCAGATTATAGATAACATCGATGCATTAATTCAGTGTCGAGTGAATGACCATGAAAACAAAATCGAAGAGCAGTTTGAACTTTTGTATTCCATCTTTTATTTCCCTTTTATCAAATTGAAATGAAGAGTCGAATACTTAAGATTGTTACATATATTTGGTAGAATTTTAAATGAGTAATGTAACTATTGCTTTATTTAATCTTGAAAAGTAGTGCCAATTATTCAATAACATTTCTTGACCGAATATGAATGATATTTCCTGTTTCCCCAAATAATTATCATAAACAGTCATGCTGTTGTTGTAATGTTCGTTTATTAATGAACAATAATTAATATAAATTAAATCAAGTGCGTTGATACAATGAAGTAAAATAAAACACGACTAGTGTTCAGCACAAGATATGAATTTTATTCTGTAAACCCTTAACATGTGATCTTAGATATTTACTAGAAATACTGAGCATGCGCAAACAAGCATTATACATAGGGTCAGTTCAAGTTCATCATGTATGATGATACTACAGCTGTGATTATTATTCCACTATCATATATGTGTGTGTCCCATATTTCCCATTCATACCATTTTTCTGATATAATTTTAGTCTAAAGAAATTTCTGATGTTGAAACTCTGAATTCTGGGCTGACAGAAGATGAAAAAGGTAATGAATTGTGTTACAAATACTGATGTTTATCAAAAAATGTCAAGTCCGTCGATGTCTAATAAAGTTAAATGCATAATATCGAATTGTCCATCAATCTATGTTAAGGTTTTTGAAAATAAAGAAATATTAACAAACTTTTTGCGGAGTGGATTCCAGTTTCCGATTCTGTTTATATAGTATACCGGTCATGGTCATGGGGAAAATAAGACATTTTCCTCAGGGAATTAACCACTGAGCTGGTATGCCAACCACTACAATATCAATGCACTGACGTCCTTTCCGTACTAATTGACATTACTAATGTCGATTATTTTAATGTGTTTGTTTGTTTGTTTTTTTGTTTGTTTGTTTGAGAATGCTGAGAACTTTATCAATTCACGATTGTTTTGCCGTTTCATGGCATATAAATATTAACTATATTAACATAATATAAGAATTAAGAATATGTATGTTACAAGACAGGGAGACAACCCAATCAGGTCAACATAGAAACATGGTTGGAGTTAATTTTACATGCAATACCATTATCCATTCTAGAAGATATATTAGCATATCAACCTTTAATATCATGTCAATGCATCTTAAACACCTGATCGAGAGGTGTCCGTGGCCGAGTGGTTAATGTCCTTGACTTCAAATGACTTTAAAACCAGTCAAATAAACAAACAATACCAGAACGATTATTCTTATCTTAAATTATATATACATGCATTACACTATTGTACCGGTTTCTTATATTTTGACAGGTCTCCAAAGATATTTACTGGAATTTTATAGAAATGAATATATTCAGATACCAATTTCTCCACTTTCTACAAAGTACAGAAAAAGCGTTGAGGAGCTTTATGTCCCGTTACAGGCAAAGATATTTTGCAAACACAAGAATGTAGCCGCAACCAAACTAGTTGATGTGTTTCAGCAAGACAATAAAGTCATGCGCAGCATATATCTAACCGGAGAAGCAGGGATAGGAAAATCAACTTTTTGCAGGAAACTGATTTCACTATGGTGTACTGTTAGAGAAAATGAAGGAAAATTACCACATGATTATACTCCTGTTTTTGATTTTATAAACAAATCATCGACAGGGAACAGCTCTATTCAGTCCGTTGAAGGGTTTGAAGATTATATGGATGGTTTTTATTATGAGAGTTATATGTCCGATGAAAGTGATACGTCGCATACAGAATGCAGTGGTGATGATAGTTCTCTGTGTAATGAAGACCTAAACACAGGTGCAACAGAAAATGCTTTCACAAGTTATAAAAGCAATAAAGATTCCCTCAATTCAGCCGCTAAAAAATCACAGATCACAGGTGACGACACAGATAATGCATTAATCAAAAAATATGATTTCCTTTTCTTCATATCTCTTCGCGATACTCATCTAGAGGTCTCCATTGAAGACATGATAGTAAAGCAGCTTCTTTTTCAAAATTCAGAACTTGACAAATGTTTCAAAAGCACAATAGTTAGAATTCCAGAAAAATGCCTTTGCATTCTTGATGGATTGGACGAGTGGCAACCACCCAAACCTTTGCCAACACATCCTACTGTCACAAGAGGTTTGCCTCTAAGCTCTGTTGGTGGAAAATATGTCAAATTGTTTACGACTCGGAGATGGAAATACGAGAGTCTCAGTCCATGCATTGAAGAACATGAATCAGAAGTTAGACTGACGGGCATAGGGAAAAAATCATCAAAGGCGCTCATTGAAAATATGTTAGTGTCACAAGATCGCACAATTGCATTTGAAACGGCAGTTAGCTTGAGCGATACAAATGATTTGGGTTCTATTCCTCTCCTACTCAAATTATTAATTTGCTTATGGCAAGAAAACTCTAAACTTGAAACATCTAAAACAGAGTTGTATTGTTCAATTATAAATATTATGCTACATCTGGCTGAAAAAAGAAATGATTTGCCTTTTGTTATTTCAACTCAACAATTACCACATATGCTGGAAGTATTTCCCTACATTAAAGACAATAGCAACATTGTTTTCAAGCTTTCACAATTTGCATTTGATTCATTGTTTAAAAAGCGCAATGAGTCTACGTTGGTTTTTTCTATGTTTGATCTTTCACAGCAAGGTTTGAGTTCAAGAGAAATTCTTTTATTTCTGCAAACGGGAATTCTTACACAAAAGTCTTTATCTAGTGAATCAACTTTTATCCCGAAAACATCATTGTCGTTTATCCATAAAAGTTTTCAAGAGTATTTTGCAGCCGTGCATATTGCTACTGCTGACAGTGACAAAAATGAAATTAGAAAAATTATTGCCTGTAGATGCGGTCAAACGTATCAAATTGTTGAGATGGCAAATGTATTTTATTTCTTAGCAGACTTACACCAAGACTTGTATCAAGAAATATTAAAAGAAATAGCGTCACATTGTCCTGACAGAGGCATCGCCTTGGGCCACGAATTAGATCTCACGTTGAAATTAAAAGGAGAAGATATTTGTCTAACTGATATATTCTTAAGAGGTAACCCAAAATCCGTTGTGATAGAATCAACAAATTACGGCATTAAGGGGCTTTCGTTATCAAGACAAAACCAGAAACTTCAAATTTTAGAGCTCAGAAGTGTAAGTTTGACACATATTGCATTCAAGACGTTGCTAGAAAGTATTTCTATTTCAGGAAAAGGAGTTGATGTCACTCTTATATGCATAGGTTGGATAGATGGACACTTTGAAAAAGAAATGTTCCCACTATCTGTTCATGTACGGAACGTTGGAAAATTGAAAATCAAATTCACAAACCTTACCAAAGTGGAATTTATCCTGCCTCAAAATATTTGTACTGTTGAATTTACTGAGAATGATATGACAGACAATGGTTTGAGCACAATGATAAATTCTGTTTCAAAAACAAAAGGTGATATTGAAATGACCTTCCATCGTATAAAGCTCAGAAAATCTAAATATACGCATTGTAATTCTGATTGTCCACTTTTGAACATCACTGTTAATGCTTGTGAAGTTAATAAACGCATCACAATAGGAGAAATAAAAATTTGTAAAAGTTATATTACTCATACAGGTACATGTTCTGATTTGCAGAATGTACAATTGAGAGAATTAACGATTAAACGTGTTGACCTCACAATCGTGTCGTTTTCGTCTGTAGAAATTGACAATTTTCATCTAATAAATGCAATATCAAAAGGTTTAGGTAAGTTTAAAGTTTCAAGTCAAAATCGACAGCTTCAGGTTTTAGAGCTAGAGTGTGTATGTGTGAAAATGAAAGCATTCGGGTCATTTCTAAAAAATATTCCTATGTCGGATTACGGTGTTGATGTGACTCTAGTTAATATCATTTGGATTGAAGAAGACCTAAACCGAGAGTTTTTGATTGATGTAAAGAATATAAGGAAGTTAAAAATTCAATCTACAAGTCTTGCAAAAATAAAATGGAAACTATCTAAGAATATTCGTACGGTTGAATTGATTGATACTACTATAACATCCAGAAGTCTGTCTACAATAATCGAATCTTTTCGAGATACAGAATTTAATGTTGAATTATTGAGCTTGAATAATACTTGGTACTCAATGTCCAAAATATCCAAAATAGTACTGAATCGTTCTCAGATAATCGATGTGACATTAGGGGCAACCATTAAAAGCATAGAAAGCGTGTCCCAAGAAAGCAACTGTAAGATTCAAAGTTGTCCCCTAAACGAGTTATGGATTGAAAATACCGATATCGAGGGTGTGTTCTTAAGTTCAAAGGAATTTGACATTATTAACTTTGTGGATTTAACGATACAAATTAAAGAATTAAAGAAAATCCTAGGGAAAAAAATAATTGGGCATCTTTGTACGGTCTTAGAAAATTTCAAAGAAGATGATATCGTTACATTTACAGGTAGCAATACTGATGAATTACTTATTAGTGATAGATTTAACCTTCGATACCAAAAATCTAATACTCCTCTTGAGATAAGTGTGAATGATAATAAAGTGGTATCAGTGTTGACAATATCAAATCGATATTTAAAACCTGAACCATTGTTTGGCATTTCCGAAGTTTTCAGCGTTGTAGGGTCTAGAAACGATTTAAGGGAAGTAATAAAATTCATTCCCCCAATCGAGCAAATGAAGTTGAATTTACATTTTGAAAATATAACTTATCTATCTACAAACAATTTTGCATATTTAGTAGAACAACTAAGAAACAGTGCTTGCAAAATATTTTCTGTAACGATGGACAATGATGAGGGAGATATACATGTGAAAGATCGTGTGGCATATGTATATGACACATTAAAACCGGAATATGAACAAAGTAAAGGAAGACCTGTGTTAGATTTGATTAAATCTTTTTTTGAAGATTTCATGAGGATCTCAAATCAACATCTCTAAGAGGCTGTAGCCATACATAGATTAAAAGCAGAAAATGAACGTTCGAGTTTTTAAAACTTGACTGAGTGACTTTGTCCTTCTTTATTAAAGGAATTTTATAAATTGCATGCTTAGTGATATAACTTTTTGATGAAACTTTTATAAAAAGAGAATGAAAACTGTTTTACATTTAATACCTTCTGAATATATGTTCTTTTATACATGTTATACGTGCAATAAATGTTTTGTTTTCCTGCCATATCTGTTGGGAGCATTTCACAATGCAAACGAATACATTTGTTCTTACACACTACTTTTGGTTCATATTTCATTTATACGAAATTAAATCGTGTTTTGACCAAAATTAGGCAAAAATGGGGTCGCCTCTTCAAACTGTACAAAAGTGTCTGCATAATTGTCAAAGAATTACATCGTGTGCGATTAAAAAGTTGGAAGAGTACATACGTGGTCTCCAGTCTCACTAGGTGTTTCTCGTAAATCATCGTAAAACATAAAACAAAATTCAGTCACAAACTTACCGACAACAGCAAACGTCCATATTTTAGTCACCGCATCTGCGACGAAAACTCCACCGCCGCTGCAATGGATACAACGCTTCTGTTTGTGAAAAGGCAAGTTAAAACAAAAATAAAGGATGAACATTGCAGACTTTATATTATTGTGTCTATTCATGAGAGATAATGTAAGAGGAAAATATAAACTGTATAAAACATCTCCGTGTATGCAAGCTTATAAGAAAAAACACTTGTAAGGTATCATTTATAATATATGTGACGCACGTATTAAACGTAACATAGAAATGAAGATCTTATATGAATTTCAACCTATGTTTGTCTGTGCTTTACAAAACTTTATTCTATCTCAAATAGCAGAATTTAACAATATGCTTCAAATTTGACGTATTGTGATTATCTTATCTACTTTCGTCTCGATATGCGCACAAGGAAAAGTTTGTTTTTGCCATCGAATTTTGTCATCACAAATGGATCTTGATATTTCGTAAAGGCAATTATGTGAGGGTGTTTCTAGCGAAACGGTCTAACATATTTCAAAACCTTGTTTGCTGCGAAAAGCAATATGAAATAAGTGGTAGCCAATTTGAAATATTGAAAGATACACAACTTAGTAAGTGACACTAAAAAAATAATAAGTGTAACTTTTATTGGCGACGCCGGTGAGCGGCGTCGTCTTTTATGGAATGCTTTTTATTTTTGCCTATGGAAGGAGCTGTTATTATTAGCAGTTAATTTCATGTTGTGTTAATTATATTTATTTTGATTCGTAAAAATCAAGTAAACAAATATGTTGTTATATTTGTATTTAATAACTTTATATAAAAAGCATGAGCATTGTGATATTATTTTCACGAAATTGCAGGCTCTGATTATCAGCTTGTCCCTTTGTTTTATTGACAATACTAAAACCCGGATTTCGAATATCGTTGTGGTCTACATTGATGCTCATTCATTTATATATTTTCAAACTTTCCTACAAGAAGAAAGTTCACCTGCAAATGAGTATTAGGATAGGTAATGGACTGTTGTAAACGATTATCCTATTGATTGTAATCCATATTACGTTTATCTGTTGAAACAGAAATGGTTGTTTTTACAAAGTGTACCAGTATCCGGGATGTTGACAGCTATCCGAATTTCTGCAATTACTGCTGCCACAGTGGCCATCTACTTTTTTATGAATACTTTACCATTAATTTTGCATGGCATAATTAAAATGAGCCTGCAACATTTCTTAATTTTGATGTTTAGGGTGTTCTTTTGGTTTCATGTTTTCTTTATTTCAGGGGAAGTAACTCATGTTTACTAAATTATTTGTTCTTTTCTTGTTCTTAGGTATTACTTACAATTTTGTGTTTTATAAAATTTACCAGTTGTAAGGTCATCAAAAGCATAGAGGCCCTGATGAGTGAATATTGATATATTATATACTTTTACTGGCTTTATACACCCAATATTTCATATTTATTTAATAAAAACTTGGAATTATTTAATGTTATGTGCATACATTTATATCTTAGTATATTGGTATGAATGAGACTTATAATATTTCTGAAATTTTAAAGAGTTGCTGTTATGTCATTATTATTAAAGGGATGAGACTTTCATTTAAAGTTATAAATGATAATACATGTATTGATTGAAAATGTCCTGAAACTTTGATCAAGCAATATAATTGATAAAGCCTCAAAAAATCATGTTCTGAATAGTTATTCTAATTTTTTTCTAACATAGGCATAGTTTGAAAAGGACAGCTTCTGCCTTATCTATTTGTAATGGAGGGACACCGGTCTCAATCTCCAGGTCTCCTGAGTCAACCCGACAACTGACTTTTCAAAGAGTAGATTGGTACTTGTCCTTGAATAAATTTGTACACTAAATTTTATAGTGGGTGATTTGTGCCACATGAAAACCAACAAAGTACAAAAAGTAACCGGGCGCCAGATGAAAACGTGAAAATACAATCTACCACAAAGTGGTTCGTTTGTTGAATTTTCATGTTTTCGCCCGGTGCCCTTGATGTAAAATACAAATCAGCATTCATAAAATTTCTTATCATAGATAATGTACATGTATAAGCACAGTTATATTCACTTTCAAATTGACCTGTTATAAATAATGGCACAACCAATAACTGTCTTAGCCCTTTTTAGTAAAAATAATTATACAATAATAATTATATAAATTGTTATTTTAATTAAGACTATGAGTATGTAAGTTTTTTTTTCTTATTTATTAATTAAAAATTAATTATCTGTTAATTTAAAAATCTAAATATCTGTCACGGTTTAGAACTGTTCACTATTTAGGGGAGAAAATGTGTAAGCGGCCAGATAGCTCAATCGCTACAGCCGCGGTACATTATTCTGTGGGTCACAGGTTTGAGTTCTGGTCAAGCTGAAAGTTTTTCTCATCCTGTTACTGCAAATAACCATTAGTTTAATTTACTATTCTCTGTAAACATTAGAAATTCAAGTACATGAATCAATATAGTGGGGAAAAAGGTTTAGGTTTAGAACTGTTTCATTATTAAAGAGAAAATGTGTAGCCGGCCGGATAGCTCAGTTGGTCTGCTGAAAGTCATGGGTTCGAGCCATGGTCAGGCAGTTTCAGTCAGGGTTTAGAAGTAGTTTTTCAACTGACACATGTTTGATTCATTTAATAGATTGCATTTAATTTGAAATGGACAAAGGCAGTATTGCGTGATACTTTTAAATCTACAAAAAGCATTTGGTACAGTTGATCACACTTATTATACTGCACATGAAGAAGTTCTTTTTTCTTCTTCTTCATGGAACTTGAAGCATCTGTCATATGTAATGACATTCTTACATGGTTCAAGTCTTATCTCTGATAGCAGCTGGTGAATGTGGCTGATACTCCTTCTCTCTGAATACCTATGGTGTCCCCCTGATGTTCATTTTAGGTCATCTTTTATGTCTCATATATGTCAATGACATGTCTGCAACCCTAAGCAATAAGCTTTTATTATATGCACAGGCACAAGTATCAGACCTGGAGAAAAAATATTACCAGATTGATAAAAAAACCTGTGTTCATCTTAAAAGTGTCCCAAACCAAAAAAAAAAAATGTAAATGATGACCCCCTTTAAAAATATACTTAAAGTTAATAGTATATTTTTAAAGGGGGTCATTATTTACATTTTTTCTGGTTTTTGACACTTTTAAGATGAACACATATTTTTTATTAATCTGGTCATATTTTAATTTTCTTCCCAGGTGTGATACTTCTGCCTGTCATTATATGATGATGACTCAGGTATCCTTGTATCTGGTAAAGTAAATCTTAAGATTGGTTTATTGACTATAAATTGTCTTTGCATCTTGGCAAGACAAAGTCTATTCTTTTTGGTTTAAGTTTCAACATAAACTGGGCCAAGCCTCCAGGTCACATGAAATGGTACTGCTATAAAGTACACATCTTTTGTTAAGTATTTAGGTGCAAACCTGGATCAAATTCTTTTGGCGTCGCCCTTTGATGCTTTGCATCAATGCTTTTCTTGTTTATTATCTGTAATGTAAATTTCACAAAAAGGCAAGTTAAATATCGATATAAAAATGTATTGAAAGATTACTTATATTAACTGCTTTTTTCGCAATTTAATAAATGCTGATTTATATAAATATATCTCATCATGGCATGTGTGGAAAAAGATGTAGATATCTCTTACTTTTTCATTAAACCAACTGACAAGATATGAAGAAATTATTTATGAAAAAAAAACAGTTAAACAATAAATTGTGGTATGGTAAAAATATGAAAGTTGCTTCCCCTTAACCATTAAGTTTTATATTTATTAACACATCTATTAAAAAACTTTATTCGTATATAATAAATGTAGTTGAATGATTTCGAACATATGCAAAATATATAGACCGAATTCTTTCGCAGGAAGAGGTTGTGTTGAAATACGTAATGCCATAAAGAATGATATACAAATTGCATTGTTCATCTTATGTAGTAAATTTACAAAGGGAAATAAGTCTACATGTTCTACGTCGTTCCCTGCTAATGTATATATTGATAAGCAAGGTTTACTAAAGATAGATATCTTTATAAGACAAAATTAAAGTATGTCATATATTTAGATCTTTAGAAGTATTTTAAATTATATCGACACTAAATTATACATGCAATTACGTTCTACAATAGGCAGGTTTAATTTCAATGCATGTTTAACTTCAAACAATGATTAACGATAAAGTATAATAGTTTAGTAACTTGGGCTTTGTAATTATGATCACGGATTCATATTTTTTTGGCAACAAAGCATCATGAACATAAAGGCAAAATTACATATTGCCATTTAAAATGTCCGCACACGTTAATTCAAGGACATGTTCAGCAAACAAACAAACTTTTGATAATACAACGTCCGTTTGCAAATTATGATGATAAGTCAAAAGTACGATGATGAAATGATAAAATAACTTATTGTTATCATGATTTATATATTTAGATTTTTAATAGAATATCAAATGGTAATCTGAAATAAGTGTACATGTGTGAAAAAAAGTCGAAAGCTCGATGGTTAAAAGTCGAAATAACGAAACCAAGATGGCGAAAAGTACGATAGTGAAAACACGAAATTATAACGTTTTTTTTTTCGTTTTTTTATCATCTTACATTCGACTGATCACCATTGAGGTTTCGTTGTTTTACTTTTCAACATCGTAGTTGCATGTTTTCTATGGAACACTTTCGCGAGTTACGTGTGTCGATAGCGACAACAAAACCTAACGCGTTATCACCTT